TGTTTTTTCATTGTTGGTGAGCTGATGAGTTGAGCTTTTCTCCTTTTGTCTTTCATCCGTTTCATTGGAATGACTCTCTCCCACGCCACCAGCCAAGCCTAACCTCCCGGTTCTCGCTACCAACCCGCTGAAACCAAAGGAATCGTTCCGGTGGTTTCTTTCATGCTTCACTGAACCGAGAGCACAATTCTGCAATGCTTTTTCTTTTCCAGATCCCTTGATCACTGAGTGCAATTGTTATCCCCGTTAATCATAGTGGTGGGCTCTCAAAGACGCTTCCTCCCTCTAGTTTTGTTGCTGTTATTCTCTGCTGGGTATTCTTTTGTCTCTCTCCTCGGGTTTGGAATGCTTTGTGGGTCTTGTTTGCTGTGGATTCACCTATTCGAACTAATTCTATGTAGTCGATCAGAAGAATTGGTGTAAGGTTTATGTTAATAGAGTTAAAATGGAACAATTGCCCTCAAAAGCTCTGCTGTCATTCTCCATTTGTTCCCAATAATCTTTTTCACACAGGAATTTCACTTCTAACCAGCCCTTATGTTTTCAGAGCCAATTACTCCATAATTATACTTTTCTAAAGGTAATTATTCGATGTTTTGATTACTATTTTGCATGGTAATCTGTTGTTTAATGGAGGCTGTATAGCAGATTCCAGTCTAGGGTTCATTAATCTTGATTGTTCAAAAAACATTCCATCGATATTGATCTTTTTAATAACCCCAACCCCTTTCTGCAGTGTGCTGCCGTCAGCATTTCTGCACACTCCCTTCACCGGGACCTGTGCGGCGATAGACCTTTTGCTGTTTTACTTCGGAACAATCGGATTATCACTCTTGGAATTTACATGAACAGATAACTTTTGGAATTGCATAGCATGAAGTAGGGGTGTTATGTTTTTGAAGAACTAAATATTAAGGGCTAAATACTCATAAAATACAGGCATTTTTCATTTTTTAGTTACTTACCCCAATTTCAGGGCAGGAAATATCAGTTAATGGTGCCATACCTACAGAAGTGTGCAAGTTTGACTGCACAACTTAAATACAAAATAATTTTTCGGTATCAACGACAATTTTTTGTTGAAAACCTGTAATTGTCTTACTTCCCTTTTACGGGTAATATTCCGTCTGTAGCTAGCTTACTAGTGACAAGCCCCAGTAATGGAATAATCAGGTGTTGTCCTCTGCTGATCGTGTTTTGCACTCAGTAATGCCTATGCAAATTTGACGTCAGGTTCGCTGTTACCTGGCAGCGATCGATTGAATTCATATGCCATTCCATGAGAACAATGAGGTTTCCGAGCACGAACTCCCCACATCACTTATTGACTGTTGGAGCAGTTTTCTATGAGAACTCACCTCATTATTATTGTATATATATCTGAATAAATAAGTAGGAGGGTTATGATTGATGAGTAGGGTTCCAGTTCATCAGTTCCGTTTATGTCCAAATACCAGAATTTGGGGCCACACGCCAGTAATTAAGCTACAAAACCAGTTAGCCAATTACAATTTGCCAATACAATTACTATACAAACCAATTCAAAAGAAATCATGCCGAGTGATCCGTTGTCAATAGAGAATTCATAATTTCTCTTCGGGGATGAGTCATTTTGCGTGGGTAGTAATGAACGCAAGTCTCCTCCTAATCTATTCCCTCTCCTCCAATTCGTCGATTTAAATGGTGGTGGTATTTAGCTAGATATTAGGCTGAGGAACTGAACAGGCTCAAGGGGAAGGAACTGGTAACGCCTTGGTATTAGCTTTCAGTCGTTCAGTGATAAGAAAGCGTTAGTCGTGAGTGGTAGTCAAGGGAAAATGCCCCCATTATATGTACGTGCCATTCGTTGTTTACAACGTCACACAAGCTCATGGCTTCTTTCTTTATTAGAGAATACTCAATGGGCTCGGAGCCGTTGCTCGCTTGCAGTTTGCAGCTAATTTTCTTATTATTTTTACAGTTTTTCTTTGTGGACCCCAATTTTAAATGGATTTTTGCGAACTTTTGGCAGGTCCTGTTGATATTGTGCATGTATCATATATTATTATATTATTCTTGTATAAGTTTTCACATATAAGGAGAGGCCTCCGGTCAATTAGGGGCCTACTGTTATGCGCCGAGATGAGTTGGCCCTTTTTATATTACGTTTCCGCCTTCATTCATTGAAGGATGATTCATATTTCTTGCCAAGAAGCAATCTCATCAAGTCTGGGAATCAGAAAAAAACTAATAGCTGCTGTATAATGCGAATAAAGAGTATGTTTCAAGCGTCGGACATGTTTGGAATGCCGATCATGAATGGCAATTATCTCCACATGGTGTCCAGTGCTGACCAATGGGCGGTAGGTAAACACTAGATAAGTTTGAGGCGAAGCGGTGAGGTACTTTACCTTAAATATTCTTTCTAGTTTTTTTTTTCGTTTTTACTAGCTTCGTATTGAGTGACAAGCTATAAATGTCAACCAAATAGGAATGTATCACTTGAAGAGGCATGGAAAAGACTGCGAAGCGCTCTCAACAACACAATCTCGCCTAATATAATCGATTCTCAGTGCTCTTTTCAAGACGCTATACAAGATTGACGTTCATTCGTCGCAGGCATAACTCGATCTTACTCGTGAGATGGCGAGTGTTTTCAACTCTTCAGGTCTTAGGGTGCACTCGATTTTTTAAAAATCCTCTGGGGAAGTTGGCAGTTGTTTGTCGCCTACTTTGTTGTCAAAATTGAGGCCTTGCTTTCAGTGCGTTGAGATGTTGGTTCCTACATGACTGTTTTCGCATTTGGCTTCTTCATAGCGCGATTTTTGACTGGTCGATCACATTGAAGTCGTGAGTCGCGCATTATTGCTATGAAACCTCGTTCTTTTGGTCGGAGAAGTGGACATTTTCCTTCCAATCACTCAGCGTAGAAACCATCTACTCTTAATTGACAGGGAGAAGGGTCACCATGTTGCTGAATGACATAGATAGCCCTTCCGAATTTTTTTTGCAGTCATAAAATGCTGTCAGAGTGCAATTTGTCAGCGTAAGTGTTCGCAAAGTACAAGTGGGTACTCACGAGCAGACATTTTTCTTACTCGAGATTTTTTAGTGCTTTTGACTCAGGATCTCACAATAAAAGCAATATCACAAAGAAAAACTTATGGTGACGATTAGCAAACCACCACAAATTGTTTCGAGTGACGCTAAAAAAGAGTGCAGGTTTTATTGCAACAGTCTTATAACTCCCATAGCTCCTCGGCCTTGATTCATGGCCAGTTGAGTAGGCCGTTCCTGCTATTAAGCGCATAATTGCCCTTGGGCTTGGCTATCCAATAGTTGCGGGTGGCGAAAAACTAAAATAATCTGGAATACCCAAGTTTGAATGTTGTAGGCGCAACCTCTGACGACATGTATTTGCTGTGCTCTATTCATGCTGCGGCTCAATGAGCCTGATCTGTGGTCTGTGCGTGTTCATCGACACGATTAGTGCCCGTTACTATGAGGCTCATAATCATCCAGAGATGCGCTTAGTGGAAAGAAAAGCGATATCCTACTACGTAGCAGTAGGATCAAGTGGCCTGGTTTTATAGAGTAATCTATGCAGCGAATGCAGGAGGACACTGAACGCCATATTATAGGTTATAGCCATCATCTAATTTCGAGGCTACATAGTTCGATTCGTAGAAATTTGTTTTTCCAGCAATTGGTGTTCTACAGTAGTTTGTCTTTTATAGCCGCTTTTGCTTTAGTTACTTTTTATTTCAATAGACGTCGAATAGCATCATGTTTTAGAACTTTCCAGTAATGTATCCTTGTTGTAGTTTCATTTTGCACCAGCAGAAAGTGAAGGGAAAGTGGAGAAAGGTAACGGACTTTAGTTTACAACCTTTTTCACTGTTTCTTAGTATTAGGCGCAATTGTGACGATGGAGCTAAGCGCATTTCCAATGAAAAACAAAAACGAAATTTTGAGTTTCCCGAATGTTGGAAAAACAATGCAGTAAAAAGTGGAAATAGGTATCGCTACATCATTCCAGCTTTCTCCTCCACTTCCTTTTTCCTTTTCGCTGCAATTTTTTGAGTTATTTCGGTGGTACGTAAGAGCAGAATCTCTGCATTATAATCGGGATTGAGTTATCCGGCTGACGAAGAGGATAAGGTTGAGTGTGACTGAGGTTGTTTGTATGAGTCTGAGTTGCTGAGTGTCGTTCGATTGCCGACAGCGCGCGAGCATCCGCGCTCTCCACTGCTTATTAAAAGAGCACGAGGCTTGGTGAACCGTGCGTGTCAGCAGCGATACGTTTGTCTTGCCGTAATTATCTTTGTCCTCTCCTCTTCATTCTTCCTCCCGCGTGTATGTGCTGCTAACAAGTACAGTTGTAACTAGCTCAGTTTCCAATCCCGCTTACGCTTTGTCATAGAACGCGCTCTATCTAACGACCCTGTTCTCCGATCGATTTCCCATGCCTGTCGTTGAATCTATCACATGTTCTCTTGACTGTTAATCCTAGGAGTTTTTTCCAAAAGGGGCTTCAAAGGGTGCCAAGGGTGAGTTCCCACCGCAGTTATTCTCCATCAGTTATTATACTCGAATTGATTTGCACTACATTTGCCTCGGGTGCTGTGCTTTGTACTATATTATGGTCGTTATGTGGAAAAGTCGTTACAATCGCTTTATTTGTCATCTTATCTTTACCGGTGATTGTCTTTTTTTCTTTTCTCTTGCCCACAACCTTCATATCAGCGGTATTGATCTATTCGAAAAGTTTCGCGTCTACCGCGTTACTGGCCTATGAATCAAGTGCTAACAATTGTTCTCTTGAAGTTTCAGGAGCTTTCGTTCCCTGGAAACCATCTCTGCATTTTCGGGTCGCCGAAGCCACGGGTTGCTGTTTTGGTAGTAGCTTTATTCACTGCTATCGGTTCTGTCTAATTTATTAGGTTCACAGGTATTATTTTCATACTTGTGCTTTTTATCCTTTATACAGAGCGTAAAAAGAGTTTTTAACTTTGAAGAGTATGGTAATGGAGGTGGATGAACCAGCCGGCACCTCCATGGACACTTCTGAACCTCTTGAACCAGCAATAGAATGGAGATTCAGCCAGGTGAAAGGAAATATCGAAGGGGATGATACCCACACCGAAGGTGAAGCCTACTTGATTTCATTCAGACTTAGCTTGTTTTCATAGCTGGTTTTGTATTTTTATTATTGATTGAGCAGTTATTTCGTTTTTTCCTACAGTTAATCGACCTAATTAATCCGGTGCTTTTCATTCAGCTGATGTCATATCGTGCGTAGAGTTTTCGCATGACGGTGAATATTTGGCAACTGGTGACAAAGGCGGCCGCGTGGTCATTTTTCAAAGAGATCAGAGTGTTAGTTTTTTTGTGACCTTTTTTTTATTGCCATGTGCATTCAAATAATCGTTTATGATGATCACTTGCTTTCCATGAATTCGTAAATGTGGCTTTTGCATAGCGGCGATTTTCACGTAGAGATGCATATTGATTTATTGCCAAGTTTTTAGTATTAGTGTAGGCCGAAGGAGTGAAAGAAGATTTGCGGCATTTTGCAGAGCTTTCAAAGCTAATGATGCTTGTTGCCTGAATTGATCTGAGAATGCGGCTGAAGTCTACTTGAGTCCTTTCACTTTTCCCAGGAAGAGTATGAAAGGGTTTTATCTGAGAATAGCTCAGTGTTTATTGGCCTAGGAATGAAAAGTGGTTGATATCTTGCTAGTCATTTTGCGGAAAAGTTGTTTCTCCTATTTGTAAACTACTATTAAAAGCTAACTCAAGCATCTGTTTCGAAAGGGAATCGTTATTTGAGGAGCTTCTTCTAGCACAAAGTTTGAGGGGATCAGATTTCATAGAAGGTAAACTTGTTATTAATTCATCTATACACCAATTACACGCATAGTAGAAAGTGCAACACATAAAGTAAAAAAAGGCAAGAGGCCGCGATATAATGCTGCTGCAGAGGAACGGCAAACAGAAACGCAATGAATATACGGCTCTCTGTTTTTTTTTTCACGAATATACGGCTTGCCGTTTTCGCAGAAAAAAATTTAGTAGGTGATTCAGTTTGAGTTGTAAAGTTGGAATTGCCTTTCACAGATTCCATACCAATATCTTATCGATTTTCGTGGATTTTTAATACTAACGCCTAACGAACCCACTTAGTCCGTGAACGCCGCCTTATTTTCACCTACAGACCATTGGAGCGTGGAACTCGTTGCAAATATGCTGTAAATTCCACCCACATCTATAGTGAAAGTCTGTTGAGAGTGCTCTTGAGACCGATTAGTGAGAGAAGGCTTTATTCTTTTTTTGCCAAGGACGCTTTCACTTCTACTGCTTTAGCTGACCTAAAATTGTCTATTGCTGCCGACTCCTTCAGAGGGTCAATTCAGTGTTCAAATATGAGATGCAAAGTACAAGCAGAGAGGTTTTAATCTAAAGAAAAAAAGGGAGTTAGAAGTGCAAAACAGGGAGCAAAACTGCTCAAAACGTCTTAACTAGTTTGATGTGAAAGGATATAGAAATGGAAGCTAAAACTGATCGCCAATTACCAATGTTCATATAGTAAGGAGAAAAAGTTGAGATAATTTGGTAGTAATTGGTCTGGTTGTGGTTTGGCTTGAAAATTTGTTTTGGTAATTTGATAATTTTGCTCAACGATTGTGGTTCAGGGGAAGTATGTGAATGGTGCACGATCGCGGGAATACAACGTATATTCGACTTTTCAATCACACGAACCAGAATTCGATTATTTGAAATCACTTGAGATCGAGGAAAAAATTAACCAAATCAAATGGTTAAAGAAGAAAAATGCGGCGAATTTTATCCTCTCAACGAATGGTCAGTCTTGTTCGCGTCTACCCAGATTACCTAGACGTCCTAAGTTATTGAAACACGATTTCAGATAAAACGGTGAAATTGTGGAAGATTAGCGAACGCGAGAGGAAGGTAGCCGATGATTCGTGGAATATCCGACGCGGACAGTGAGTTGATTTTTGCTAACTTCATCCGCTATCAATCAGATTTTCGTTTTTTTTTTTTTTTTTTTTTTTTTTTTTTAAAAANGTCTAAAGTTTTCACATCTGATTTGTTGCCTTCTGATCACGTTTGAGAGATCAGGTGGTCTTCAAAGCATTTTTTTTTCTGTGTGTACCGCGTTGGATTGATTTTAGTGAAAGCTGTGGATTTTCAAATCATGGATTGCAATGACTCAAAAAAAATGTTAAATTGTCATTGTCATTCACGTCAGCAGAGAAAAACGTTCAATGTTAAAAACTCTAATTAGTTTCAGTAGTTTTTGATAGGTTTCTTTTTCTTATGAGCCCAGACCATATCTGTGCTAAGGGCTAAGCATCTGTAAAGGAAAATAGCGGTTTTCCCCAGCAAGTAAAGTCACCGTCCCATTTCTTTCTCCTCACCCATCCTGCCAATTTTCTGTTTGAACCTGATTAGGTTAGTGTTGGTGTACTATCCTTGGTTTCAGAGAGTAATATAATGAAGGAAATGAAAGATAACCGTAAAATTAATGTGAGAATTTCTCAGAGCATTGTCTTACGTGCTACGTGCCATGTATTCCATGTTGTTTGCTTATTCATCGAAATTCGTCACATATGATTGTATCAGTCAATAAGAATTTATTTGCTGTTCTTCAGGTGTAATTGCAATTACGTAAATCACTGCATTATTCAGATTCGTTGGCAGCCTACAGATTCCAAGCATAGTGCCAATGGAATTGATTGTGGAAGCCAGTCCAAGGCGAGTATACGGAAATGCTCATACATATCATATCAATAGCATATCAGTCAATTCTGACCAGGTTGGTGTCCTTTCTGCTTAGTTCTTGAAATAATTCCCAGTGGAAACGATTGAAGTTATGTTTTGTCCTTCATCCGATTTTTTTCTTTGATTTGGATGATTTTTATTTTTGAACTTACTATTTTTAGGAAACATTTCTTTCCGCAGATGATTTGCGAATTAATTTATGGCATCACGAGATAACGAATGAATCTTTTAGTAAGTTCTAGCGCGTGCTCTGATGTTTACATAAATAATACGTTTTCTTTCCAGATATTGTTGATATAAAGCCAACAAATATGGAAGAGCTAACCGAGGTCATAACTGCAGCCGAATTTCATCCCCACCAATGTAATTGGTCAGTGCTTACGTTCCTTGAATTGTTTCATATGTTGTTTGTTTACTATTTAATGATTTCCATTAATAGGTTCGTCTATTCATCGAGTAAAGGATCTATTCGCCTTTGCGATATGAGAGATCGTGCTCTTTGTGACGCTCACGCTAAAAGTAAACACGTTTTTTGTACACCAATTCAAAGAGTAATCATGGCCATTTGTCTGTTTCAGTCTTTGAAGAGGCGGAGGATCCCAGTTCCAGATCATTCTTTTCCGAAATAATCGCTAGCGTCAGTGATATTAAATTTTCGCATAATGGTCGGTATCTTCTCACCCGAGACTATTTGACAGTCAAGGTACAGTGCTTATTTTGTTATTTTGATTTTTTCTTGTTTTCTGTGGCATCATCAATGTGGGAAGAGAAAGCGGAACTCTATTTGTATGCGCTCATTTCGTTGAGTAGTTTTCTTGTTAAAAATGTTCTCTAATCTTCTTAAAGGAGTCTTGTCCTCATCAGGAGCTCTTTTAATTGGAAATAATTAATCTGAGCTTGTGAGAAAAGATTTTTATCGACATTCGCTGAGAAGCCTTTTGAGCGCTTGCCACGCTTGGTGAAAAAACCTGATTGACACATACTGACGGCTAGTACATGCCTTTGAGCCTATCCTCAAAAAATGTGTAACGGAGGAGCGGACTTTAGTTCGTGCTGTTTAGGGAGGTGGCATTTTGAAACTTTGAAACAGTTTCTTAGGCAACGTAAAACTGGGAATGTCTAGCCGATTCCTTGCTGCGTTTTTTTTNNNNTTTTTTTGTCTAGAATTCCCCTACGGCATCGTTGCTTTGCTTGATTGCCGCGAATTTTCATTAAGATTTTCACCTCATCAGGGAGGTGTGCGCCAAAGGCTTCACAAGATTAACAACCCCTAATCTACATAGTGTTTTGAGCACTATTTTGTTACTAGTTATCGTTCACATAATGGCAAAGTTGTGATTAAAGATGGTGTTAGTCTACAGGTAATATTACTGTTAGGTTGGCAACTGATCGTGAATGACTGTATATTTTTTAAGTACTTCGAACATTTAACTCAAAGGGTAAGTAGTTTTTTTCACATTCATAGACTAGAGCTTGAGTTTTTATGATCAGTATATGTATAACCGAATGGGCATAGGTGGTGTAGTGGCAAGTGGAGCACTATCTCACACCGATGGTCAGGGGTTCTGGTTCCGGATCGATACCCGCCCAGGTCAATCGGGCCTTCCATTCCTCTGGGCTCGGTCAACTGATACCAGGCTTGTCCAAGAGGATAAAAGACTTGTATATCGACTGGCCACCGCAAATCATTCTATAGCCCACACACGCATTCAGTACGCCGCTACGATTCTCAATGGAGGTTGTATGCGGGGCGCATCCCTCAGATGGGATAGATCAACGTCCATTGACCTCATTCTTTATCCTTTATATAACTAAAGAAGTATTTCTTTTTCCGTGGAAACAAGGTAACTATGTGTTCCTAAACCATCGTAGTAACGCAATAGTTGCCATACTAATAGTATAACACTACTATTACTATTTTTAGTCCCTTTGTCAGTTGTTCCCATTATACTAGCGGTTTGCAAATTCTTAGACCTTTGTCATTGCCAGTTCTTTGATCTCAAAAGTTCCTCTAATTACCACAATCAGTTGCCCAGCTTTGTCCATTTGCTTTTCACGGCTCATCTCTATACTGCTCACTCAATTGGTTTTGAATGGATGCAAATTTTTTTCCAATATGGGCTTTATTTTAAGGTATGGGATATTCACATGGAGAATCGGCCAGTCGAGACTTATACTGTTCATGATCATCTTCGCACAAAACTATGTGCTCTTTACGAGAATGATTCCATTTTTGACAAATTCGAATGCGGATGGAGTGGTGACGATCAGTGAGTTTGTTCTTGACCTTTGACGCATGTTTGTTTTCGTCCAATTATCGTGATGGCTCGTATTTTTTTACTTTCGACCCACTCCTTAAAATCTTTAACACAGCAGACAAGATATTGTTTTTTCTAAACCTTTTCAACTTTTTTTAATGCCTCTTGATTGATAGTTGATGTTCTCCACAGAGGTGGCTTATGTTCGAGATCAGAAAATCATCGTATTTTCGCGTGCTTGAAGCGAACAAACCTTTTTGGGCTCCTCGTTCTGCAATTCCCTCTGAGCTGCAAANTTTGAATTTTGTTCCGAGATTAGTTGCTTTGAATCTTGTTCCGATTATTGCCGGTTGAGGGATTTGCATATCAAAAATACCTTGCTCAGGTGACATTAGCGATTCCTTAGGGATTCAGGAGCGTTTGGGGACCTATCAGCAGTCGCTCGGACTTATGATGAACCTCTACATCAAGTGGGCGCCTCGCTCCTGGTGCTCTTAACAGAAAGCATACCTTTTATGCCGCTATGACTTTTAAGTCCCAGATTTTGTCACCTGATCGGTTTCTAAACAGTACGAGCACATGACGTTATAGATTTTAAACGATATTCTTTTTTAACGCTGATTAACTTTTCTTTCTTTTCCACTCTTTGAGCTTCATATCGATTTTCCCTTTATGAGAATATCATCTTTCCTTCAGGCATGTGTTAACGGGTTCCTACCACAATTTGTTCCGCACATACGCTCGCGGATCATCAGAAGCGAAAATGTGGGAGGCGCGACCGCAGGAGCCGCATTCGTTGTTGCGAACACGACGAGTTTGTGGTGGGGCTAGTGCTCGTGCTCAAAGAGGACGCCGACCGGTAGGAGATGTAGGTTTTCTTACTTTTGCACACCTTTTAGGGAAAATGTAGTATGTACATGTGAAATATTGCAGAATAATGACGATGAGCTTGCCGCTGATGCGCTCGATTTCAATCGAAAGATCCTCCACGTTGCGTGGCATCCAAAGGATAATATAATAGCTCTCGCTGCCACAAATAATCTTTACATCTTCTCCGACAAGTAATCAAAAGCGCAGGTATTGCTATTTTATGTTTGCTTCCTAAGAACAGCGACCTGAGAAGATTTCTGTTCGGAGGCTCTTCTGAGACTTTTTGCTATTTGTTCCATATTTCACCTTTGATTTCTTTCATTGATTTTCCGAGCAGTACCTCCCTGCAAGGCAGATGTTTTATGATCCATCGAATTCGAAATTACCTGAAGAATTTTCGGGAATGCCTCATCGGCATTGGGGGGTGGGATTTCGTCTTTTAACTATATGTTTGAGAAAGCTAAGCTTAGCACTACCCCTAATGATTGCCCTCATTCTATGGACCCAGAAGCCCA